GGACGGACTGACGGACGGACCGACGGACGGACTGACGGACGGACTGACGGACGGACTGACGGACGGACGGACTGACGGACGGACTTCACTTGATCGACTTGCAGGGTCGATGTTTCACTTGATCAAATTGCAGGGTCGATCCATCACTTGGTCGACTTGCTGGTTCGATTTCCCATGTGATCGACTTGCTGGATGGATCCCTCACTTGATCAAGATGCTGGATCGATCCCTTACTTGATAGACGTGCTGGATCGATCCTCCACTTGATCAACTTGCTCGGTCGATCACCCCCTTGACCGACTTGTGGGTCGATCCTCCACTTGATCGACTTGCTGGGTCGATCCTCCACTTCATCGACTTGCTGGGTCGTTCCCCCTCTTCATCGACATGCTGGGTCGATCACCCACTTCGTCCACTTGCTGGGTCGATTACCCACTTCGTCGACTTGCTGGGTCGATCACCCACTTGATCGACTTGCTGGGTCGATCTTCCACTTGTTCGACTTGCTGGGTCGATCCTCCACTTGATCGACTTGCTGGGTCGATCCCCACTTGATCGACTTGCTGGCTCGATCTCCCACTTGTTCGACTTGCCGGGTCGATCCCCCACTCGATCGAATTGCTGGGTCGATCCCCCATTTGATCGACTTGCTTGGTTCGATCCCTCAGTTCAGTGACTTGCTGGGTCGATCATCCATATGATCGACTTTCTGGTTCGATCACCCACTTGATCGATTTGCTGGGTCGATCTCCCACTTGATCGACTTGCTGGGTCGATCCCTACTTGATCGACTTGCTGGGACGATCACCCACTTGATCGACTTTCTGGGTCGATCACTCACTTGATCGACTTGCTGGATCGATCACTCACTTGATCGACTTGCTGGGTCGATCACTCACTTGATTGACTTGCTGAGTCGATCCCCACTCTATCGACTTTCTAGTTCGATCCCCCACATGATGGACTTGCTGGGTCGATCCCCACTTGATCGACTTCCTGGGTCGATCACCCACTTCATCGACTTGCTGGGTAGATCGCCCACTTGATTGACTTGCTGGGTCTATCTCCCACGTCATCGACATGCTGGGTCGATCTCCCATTTCATCGACTTTCTGGGTCGATCTCCCACTTCATCAACTTGCTGGGTCGATTAGCACTTTATCGAGATTCTGGGTCGATCTCCCAGTTGATCGTATTGCTGGGTCGATTTCCCACTTGATCGACTTGCTGGGTCAATCTCCCACTTGATCGACTTGCTGGGTCAATCTCCCACTTGATCGACTTGCTGGGTCAATCACCCAGTAGATCGACTTGCTGGGTCTATCCTCACTTGATCGACTTTCTAGTTCGATCCCCCACTTGATGGACTTGCTGGGTCGATCCCCACTTGATCGACTTGCTGGGTCGATCACCCACTTCATCGACTTGCTGGCTCGATCACCCACTTGATCGACTTGCTGCTTCTATCTCCCACGTCATCGACTTGCTGGGTCGATCTCCCACTTCATCGACTTGCTGGGTCGATTAGCACTTCATCGATTTGCTGGGTCTATTTCCTACTTCATCGATTTGCTGGGTCGATCCCTCACTTGATCGGCTTGATGGGTCGATCTTACATTTGATTGATTGTTGGGTTGATCTTCCACTTGTGGATTATGGTTGGCTTAATAAGTATTATAGTTTGCTTACTAGGATCACGATAGGCTTAACTAGGATCATTGTTGGTTGAAGAAGGATATTGGTTGGTTCAACAAGAATTTGGTTGACTCAACAAAGATAATGATTGGCTTAACTTGGATTATAGTTGGCTGAACTAGGGTCATGTTTGGCTTAACAAGGATCATGGTTGGTTTAACAAGGATATTTGTTGGCTCAAAACGATATTGGTTGGCTCTACAAGGATATTGATTTACTCAACAAGGATATTGGTTGGCTCAACAGGGATTTAGGTTGGCTCAAGAAGGATTTAGGTTGGCTCAAGAAGGATTTAGGTTGGCTCAAGAAGAATTTAGGTTGGCTCAACAAGGATTTAGGTTGGCTTAACAAGGATATTGGCTGGCTCAACAAGGATATTGGTTGG